CCCTCATCGTCAGCTCTTCGTCCCCTTTTCTTGACCTCCGGTCCGCCTCCCGCTGGCCTACGAGGGCCCCATAGTGCCACCTTCCGGGTTCCCCGTCCTCCGGTCACGGCACCGATGGCTGGCGTGATCCGGCGGCTGGATGAAGCCGTGGTTAACCGCATCGCGGCCGGCGAGGTCATCCAGAGACCGGCAAACGCCATCAAGGAAATGATAGAAAACTGGTAACGCGGGGTCTGCTGCTCCTGCCCGGCTGGATGGGGGGCAGGGAGCTGCGGAAGGCCGTGGCCTGGCCTTGCCCGGGCCGGTGAGGCCGCTCCGGGGCAGCCGGACAGCGGCAGGGGGCTGAAGGCGTTGGGAGCGCTGCGGCTCTGGTCACTGCTTCCAGGCCGCCTGCATGAAATGGGGGTGGTAAGCATGAGTTTGGGTGCTGAGGAGACATAACGTGTGTGTGCTCCTATTGAAGGCAGCAGGACAGCTCCGTTCAAAAAGACACGTGTTTGGTGGGGTTTTTTTGTTGTTGCTTGATAAGCTTATGAATAATTTATTTCAGTGCCTATAATTCGGCTATTTGTTTGAAAGATAAGGTCTGTTTGGGATAGATTTGTTGCCTTTTCACTAGTAAGTGCAGTGAGCTGTGTCAGCTGTGTGCAACGAAGCAGCAGAGTCTGCAGCAGGCTTTGGTAGTGGGGAGGGAAGGTGTGCTTGTTCGACCTTCTTGACCTTTAATTTCTGAAAGTTCCTCATAATTGTTGTGGATGGTGATTTAGAATAATACATCACTGTAGTTAGAAGAAAAAAGAAGGAGACAGTAAAGGTTTATTTGAAACAGAGTAAATTCCAATATGAGTGACAGAGTAGAAACAAATTATCACACGTGTTAGAAAAATTAATTTTAAAATCAAAGTTATGTAGTCCTTTATTCTCTAAAATTGCTGTTCTCTAGAACGCTTTCTTGGTTTCTGCAGCTTGGATGCTAAGTCTACGAGTATCCAGGTAGTCGCTAAAGAAGGTGGTCTGAAGCTCATCCAGGTCCAAGATAATGGCTGTGGTATCAGGGTGAGTGAACAAAGTTGACAGGTGTATGCTAATGTTTAATACTACCTTTGAAAAATTATTTCAATTCATAAGTGTTTCTGGTAATGAAAAAACTTGGGCATTGAAACTGACCATTACTTGTCCCTTTCACGTAGAAGGAAGATCTGGACATTGTATGTGAGAGATTTACTACAAGTAAACTGCAAAAATTTGAAGACTTGACTAGTATTTCTACATACGGTTTTAGGGGTGAGGTAAGCTCTTCATCAGTGTTTTGAAACTGTTATGTGTTTGTTGTTATCCTGTTGTGGTGGGGTTTGCATACTATCTCATGCCCAATACTCTTCACAGAAGCTCCTGTTTTCTGAGAACACCTTCCATGTGAATATAGTTTGAAGTACACTTCTGTCTTTCAAGATTAGGTGGATGCCTGGAGAGATGTATATATTCTTTTTTTGCTTCCTGGAGTAAGATTAAAAAAAAAAAAAATTAAAGTAAAACAAGGCCTGTCTTCTCACATGTTGCTTCAGGGACCTATAGTAGGTAAAAGGCAATGAAAGATTTGAGTGCAAGGTGAATCTGTGATGTCAGACATTTGTCTAAATACAATGTTTGAAATGTACGTCTGTCTGCTTGAGTCTTCTCCTCACGCACTTTCAACATAATCAGCTCCAGAGCCAGTGGAGTCAGGTCTTGAGGCTGGTTTCAGCAGGTTGTGTAGACACAACCAGAAGAAGATCCTGGATAAAAGTTAGTGTTTTAAGTACTGAAATTTGTTGAAGTTTTACTGATCTGCAGTTTTCTTGAAATTTTTTTTTATTTATTTCCTAATTGATTACTTGCAAGTGGTATATCAAAGTTTGTTGGTGCTGTGGACATGTGGACACTCCTCAATGATCTCCAGAGTAAGGTTTACAAAGGTTCCTTCTCTTTCCGTAGGCATTGGCTAGCATCAGTCATGTTGCCCATGTTACAGTGACGACTAAAACAGCGGATGCAAAGTGTGCATACAGGTACGCTACCTATTATCCAGCTGACTTCTGCTGCATGTAATATTGAACAGATATATCTAATTCTCTTTTCAGGAGAGGAGGAGGAGGGTGGGTAAGGAACTAAGTGTTACTAGGGCGGTTACAAAAAAGACCCAGACTGTGAGAAAACATGGTTTGAGTGATTTATTTTTTATTATTCCAGATTGTAAATGTAAACTTTAAAACGATATATTTTAAAAGTTTGTGTGTGCATGTGAAATCTTAAATCTTCTACTTTGGCAGCCTATGTAGGGTAAACTTTTGTATTTTTCTCCATTTCAGAATAAAGTGATGTATACACACAGTCTTGCAAATTTCATAAGTCTCTGAGTACAAGAACTTACAGCTTAGTTTGCTTTTGTAGGATGCCTAATCCTATCCAAAAAAAAGGTTTTGAATATTCTTCTGAAAATTTACTTATAATACAAGTAAGCCTATCCATTGATTTTTCAACTGCTTAAAAAGGAGGAGGGAAAAAAAAAAGAAAAGCTTTACATCTTGGTTTCTCTAAAGATTGTGTGACTGCAGTCTTTCTTGCATTAAGTATGTAAGGTGAGAGGACAAAAAAAGTATGCCTTTAGAAATTCTGCATCTGTGTAACTTGCTGAAAGACCTAAGTGGGTCAGAAATCTCTTCTGCTCAAAATCCTGTTAGAGCCAAAAAGGAAACAGATCTTATATGTAAAGTCAAGAATACTTTATTAGTATACTTGAAGCGTAAAGTCTAGCAGAAGAGTTATTAGTCTAGGTCTATTAAAGAAGGATAAAATACAATAATCCTACCTTTACAGGAAAAGTCTCAGTAATACAATATCAAAACATATATCCTGTTATCTGCTCCTTCTTCTCTGCTTTTTTTTCCCCACTCTCCCACTGCCCCTCTGAGTCCTAAGGTCAATGGAGACAGTTTTCCTCTAGCAGAAAGCAGAGGCAGGGGTTGCAGTCAATTGTCAGTGTCCCAAGTTCTTTGCTGGGAGGAGTGTGATGATGATGGGGTTTCTTTTGTTTTCTCCCTTTTGTCATCTGGATGTCTGCCCCCTGTAAATTTTGGTGTCTGACAACTTTTTATTTTCTGCCTAGAGCTACTTACAGTGATGGAAAAATTAAAGCCCCTCCAAAACCCTGTGCTGGAAACCAAGGAACTCAGATCACAGTAGGTTTTTGTGTCTTTTCTCTCTTGTCCCTTTTCCTGTTCTCTGGTTGTTACGCTTGCACTCCTTCTTGGTATGTGTTAATGTTGTAAGGTACATGACTGTATCACCTTGCAGAATGTTTTCCAAACAATGATATAGTGTGGGTTTGCTCTGTGTTTTTGTTTAGTCTTCCTCCCTAAAGACAGCAAGGTAAATTTCAAAATATTCTATGGATAGCATAGTCATACACTATCAGAAACATTTCATAATCCTTCTGGACTGGTGAAAGCCTCAATGCACAGTTAGAACTGCAGGAAGCTTAGAATATGGAAGGGTGGCCTATGTTTTACAAGCCAGAGTGGGAAGATGAGGGCAGGCACGGGAAACTGCAGACCTGCTGTTTGTCTTTCAGTCACATCTTTCATATATCGTACCAAGCTTTGAATGTGGGTTGGGATTAAGATCAGCATTAGGATTATGAAGAGTAAGGAGCTCAGAATGGAAAGGAGTGTGTGCGTTGCCAATTGTAGGGTGAAAAGTGGAAGCCTGGCCTGGGAGTCTGCAGGTGTGTGTTTGTCTTGCAGCAGGAGCGTACACCCAGCAGGCTTCACGTGTCAACGTTCAGGATCATGTATCTTAAAAAAGAAGCTGAACTTTAAATTTCTGCCTTGCTAGGAGAAAGAGAAATTGCATATTGCTTAAATAAATAGTGAAAATGAATGATTTAAGCTGCTGTTTTAATGACGTTAACAGGCTTGATTGCAGTTAACTGTTTTAACAATTATTTGCATTTCATTAAGACACAGCGTAGTCGGGGAGTCCATTGTCATTTGCAGTGGAAAGCGTATAATTTTCACTGAGAAGCAAGTTGTAGAGTTGTTATTGGTAAAAATACTCATGTACTTGAAAACATACATTTCTCTGGAGTTGCATTTTGTTAGGTGAACCTAATCAGGTAAGGAATAAATTGAATGTTGATCCTTCATAAACTAAAATGTTTTTAGCATATCTTGTAGTATCTGTTAAGAGATTTAGATGATTTATATAGTGAGAAGATTTTTTTTTTAATTATTTTAATTATGATCTTTTTTTCTCTGTAGGTTGAAGATCTTTTTTACAATGTAAGTACAAGGAGGAAAGCTTTAAAAAATCCAAATGAAGAATATGCAAAAATACTGGAAGTTGTTGGCAGGTAAACTGAAATAGGAGGCTCCAGTTTTTTCTACTGCCATCAAGAGTACTGAGGTTTTTCGCAGGGACTGGCATATGTGTGTGTAGTGTCATTTCTTTTGTTGTTACTGGTTTTGAGTTTTTTAACTATTTGTTAGTATATAGTGTCAGCTAATAGTTGATACAGAAAATCCAGAGGAGAAACAATGTATTCAGCCTATGACTATTATTAGAATTCCAGCAAACAAATACTGATAGACTTGAATGAGTGAACTCTCAATGAACTTGGTCTGAATAGAATCCAAGTAAAAACTGTGCAAGAGCATTGAGATTTGGCGGAATATGAAAAAGCTAAATGGTGTCCTCAAAAAAAACCAAACCAAACAAAAAAAAACCTAAAAAAAACACCAAAAAACACACAAAAAACCCCAACCAACCAACCAAAGAAGCCAAAACACTTTAGCTACCAGATAATCCCTTCCTGGGCTCCTGTGTTGCATCTTTTGCCACTTGCGGAGGCTTTGCAAGCAGGATCTGCACCATTTAACCAGAAGAACTGCTTTACACTGTCAGTAAACACAGAAGCTAGCACAGAGCATCAAGACTGTACGCTAAGTGTTAGCCAGCTTCCCAGATGAGCTACTTCAGAGTCTGTACTGGCCAGGCAGGCTTCAGCCAGGAGATTAAAGGTCAGGTGGAACAGGCTCATCTGAACTCTTGCTGAGGTACAGGCTTCCAGCTCATGGGTTTGGTTGTTGTTTTTTTTTTTTCCATTAGGGTTTTACATACTTTCATTTTGGTTGTTTTTTTTTTTCCCTCTCCAATTTTTGAGTTACTAACTGTTCTGTTCACAACAGTCTGACCTCTGTCTGCATTTTTACCTTTCTCATCTTGCAAGGTTCTACTCTGTTCTTTCTCGCAACTTCCCTAGAGGTTTGAGCCAGTTATGCAGCTGTAGCGTATTAGAACTTGGCCCTGGGATCACAGACAGCTGAACCATCTGGGTAGGGGAGGTTGGAAGGGTGAGCCAGCCACTTTTTGGATCTTTCTCCAACAGTAATTGAGCCCTGATTCTGTTATACTGAGGAGGCGTTGCTGCTGTTTTAGTTAAACCTATGCAATGAAACAATTAACCAGGTCTGTAGATGTTGATCAGTTCTGAGAAATAAGCTAAGCTGATCCCTGAATTTTATATGGTTACAGGTGAATTATAAATAGAAAACATTTTTACAGCTGTTTAGTCTACAAAAGGTTGGTTTTGCTCAAATCATGTTGCTGTGTAACAGGAAATGAAATTGTTTGCTCCTGTTAGTAGCTGCTTTTTAGCATTTAGGCAAAGTAACCTTTTCTTCCACATACCATAGTCATTTGTTTACCTGTTTTTCAGGTATGCCATCCATAACTCAGGCATCAGCTTTTCAGTTAAAAAGGTGTGTAAATAGTCTTTATAATTTCACTGTGTGTCTGTATGCATGTGTATGTATATGTGTAATAAGCATACAAAAAAATGCCAGAAAATTTGCACAGCATCTTTACCAAAGGGAATAGTGTATAGAGCCTTGCTGTGTACTGAAATCTCGAAATGCACATTGATGCAATTTGGGTAGAAAACACATTAATTAAAAATGAACGAGACAAAAATATATTGGAGTTTGGAGTTTACTATGTGGTCCATGTGTTAATTTGTTTTAGCTTTGTGAGCTGTTTCAGCTTCTTTAGAGGGTCTGGACAGGGTGGAGTACCCTCATTCTGTGGCATTCTTCGTAATTATTTACTGAACTGCTTCTGTTCCTCACTTCCAAAGATGGAGTTACTGGCCTGAACAGGTCTGATGTGATCCAGCAAATCTTGTAATCCTGTGCCATTTACCATCTTTTGCTTTTCTGAACACAAAGAAGTAAATAATAATACCAAGCATTATAATGATGTTATATCCTATGTCTTTGTGTTAAAAATGTTATTGTTGAGTTTAATGTATTTCTAAAACATCAGCCAGAACTGTGAGTTGACTGATAATAATTTCTGCTCCCTTTAGCAAGGCGATACCGTGTCAGATGTTAGAACTGTATCAAATGCCTCAACAGTGGACAACATTAGGTCCATCTTTGGAAATGCTGTTAGCAGGTATGTTGCTGACATGAAGTTTTCCAGTAAATCTCCCTCCCCTTTCTCTTGAGAACAACATGGCTGTGCTAACTTTTCCTGCTTTTTTTTCAAGGTGAATGTGTGAAGAGTTTTTCTTTATTATATCAAAGGAAAGAAGGAAGTTGCAAAGCTGTTCCTTTAATGCACTAAGAGAAACATCTGCTTTTAACTTTCTGTGTGCTCATTTAAAAAGAGAAAGCTGTACCTGTGTTCTCTACAAGTTCCTAGCTTCTTCCTACTCCATGAAAATCTTGCCACTTCTTGCCAGTCTGCTATCTGATAAATTTTGAAGTCTCCTTAAATTTGTTGTTCTGAAATCTTATGGTTTAATATTTTAAGAAAAGCTACATTAGCTTAGGCTGAGTAAATGCATTTTCAAAAGATGATTATTTATCTGCCACTTTAGGAAAAAAAATCTCTCTTTATAAGACACACATCTGGAAAGAATCCATTGAATGGACATGAGGAACTGATTTGTCCTGTGAATACTTAGGTGTTAGTTTGATCAGTTAATGAAATCACATTTCGCATATATGGAATATAAATTTTAATACACGTGAACACCTTTATGAAACACAGCAGAAGAGAGGCTGTTTAGTTATAAGAATCACAGAATCGCTCGGTTGGAAA